AATAGTTTTTTTTCTATCACCTTGTCTCATTTATTAACGATTGGCGCATGATGCTGAGCGGATACGCTTACCATCACATTTCTGATTGTCCTGTGTGGATGCGAGAGGATTGCTGGGTGGTTTAATTATCCGATCGTCGGTTACAGCTTTCTCAACCATTAAGCCCATGCATATGAAAACAAATAATAACTGATTAATCCCATATCTTACATACACTGGTAACTGGAAGAGAGGCCGTGGTTCGCCATATGATTAGACCGTCTTATCGACTTTCTTCTCCTCCGAATTTAATATTGAAACCCCATCTTATGATTTATGTCATCGCGTCACCGATGCATTAGGCGTAGCCTCGAATCTTTTGCCAACATAGTCTGGTTCAGAGCAGTCGAGCCGGAATCGGTCCGAATTTTGACATGAATAATGGAAATGTATCCAGAACTTTTGTTATCAAAACAGGTATTGCGAAGATTTAAACATAAAATGTAACCTTATTTTTGCTTATATTATTTTTTGTAAAATATGGTGCGAAAATGAGCTAAAAATCTCCATGTAAACTCAAAAAGAAATAATTTTAAAAGCGTTTTTAAAACATAGCTTCAATAAAAAAAATGAGGAATTCATCTCGAACTTTCGCTGCCCAAAAACATGGCGACAATTTGAAATTTTTGTCTGAATAGATTCAAATAATTTACTATTCGATTCGGTTTGAATATTCAATTCCAACTGTAATTTGTAATTCTGAATTTTTCGTGGTAAAAAGTAGAAGTTTCAGAATTTTAGTGGTGATTGTACAAGTCAAATTTTTTCTAAGAAGCCAGAAAGCTCAAAGTTTCTCAATCGCAGATAAGTCTCAGCTTCTAATTTGATTCAATTGTATATAAACAACATAATTCCCAGTTTTATTTATAGAAATTCCAGCTTTTTCATTGTTTGAAACAGGTTTCCAAACTTTTTTTTTGCTGTGGACTGCTAAATTTTCATTCTCAATGTTGAGTAGATCCTTGAGTTTTAATTGCAGATATTCAAGTTAAATCACTTGTGGTGTAATATACTCAGTAATATAACCATTTTCAATACAATTATAACCTTATTCGTCCTTTCCACCATGCTGCCCGCTGATTTCTTAGTACCGGTATCCGAAACATTTAGTGAGAACATTGCGGTTTCTTGTTATTCACAAGCTTCCAGATCCTTGCGTCAGGTCTGTCATATGGAGCTTCGTTTATCGTTCCAATGCATGCGTGCTCCTTAGTAAATTAAGCACTAATCTAGTATATGCTCTTTGAATTTTTTCAGTTCATCCAAGAGCATGTGAGAAAGAACAACAACTTTAATGAAATGTACACATTCGATAAGATTAAGACTTTATATGATGACCCCCTTTACGCGCAGTAGACCCTTGGGGAGGGGGGTGCTGTATGCCACCGAACCGTTACTCAAACGTACAGTTCTTGATGCATCATTTTATCTGTTTTTCTCTAAGTTTATTACATGTACATTTACTGTAGATATTTGTTGTTTTTTGGTATACATTTTGTTATTTCGAACGATTTTAAATTTTAATGAACGAATTAAAATAATCATCATTGTTTTATATGAAGAAAACAGTTTAGGTAATTGAACAAATCGGTAGTCGAACACCGATCTGGGAAGAATTATGGTCGACTACCGAGGCATCACTGTATTTCGTATTTGGAGTATTCGGTTAACGGGGTATTAACTGCTAATTGCTAGAAAATCGATTACAAGATGTTTCTGTCGGGAATTGATCAAAAATCACGACACAGATTTATTGTAAATTTATACACATATACTGTACGAGCGTTTATGTAAATTAAATCATGAACATAAAAAAGTCATGCATTTGGTGGGAAAAGTATTCTGCCACAGTATAAGGCTTCATAAGATCTTGACTGTTACTGTTTCTGAAATGCATTTTGTATTAGGCATTGGCTAATGCATAAATTGAAGTCTTGTTCAGATGATTCGCAATTTCCCCTACCGCCATTTCAAGATCAAAGACAGTAGTTACACAATATATTGTCACACTCAACTCATTTGAATTCCATTTTAATAGCTTTTAAATTAGTTCAATCAATCATCATTTATTCGTCAACACAATCAATATAAATATATCACGGAAATATGACAAGATATAAAGTAAATAAAAAAAGACGAACTTTATATGTGTGACAGAAGTCGCGAAGGACCTCGAAGGGTCTTCGAGCAGTGACACCTACGATGCTGATTCAGCTCAACACTTTCAATGCCAAGGACGTATATATACGTCATTTAGCACTAACCGTTCCGTGCCATATTCCGTTCCGTGAATAATTTAATTACTATTATTTATAAAAAATAAAACAAGAGACACTAAAACAATTGATTAATATGTGTATATAACAAATTTGAGAAACATGAAAACCACCAAATAGCTATCACAAACGTTTTTGAAAGAAAACGTATATATTATATATATATATCAAGAAAAATGCAAATTTAAAAAAAAAACTAAACCTAAAAGGTAAATAAAAATCCAATAAACGTACAATTTTTGCATTATTTTTTTTAAACCGTGTACATAACGGCATAACCATTGCCAACCAAGCAGCAATTTTGAAAAATACGGACTCCGTGCGCCTCTGAGTAGCTCGAGCTGGTATCAGCGTTGTCAAGAATAACAAGCCAAGGCCCATGCTGCCATGAGTCAGATGTAGAGAAACAGCAGTTGATTGGAATCAGTCAGTTAATTTTCAGATGATCAACTAACTTAAAGAAAGGTAATTACCAATATATTTCATTTCAAGTCTCTCTTAAAACCATGGTATGACAGTGATCTTATGGTACCTGGCAAATCATTTCATAACTTTACACCCATATACATTTAAAGATTTTTTCGTTGTGCATAAGGTATATCTTTGGACATGAAATGCACTTTGTGAGGCAAACCTAATGCAATATGAATAGACTGCAGTGTGATTAGTAAACTACCCTAAAATGCTCTTGGAAGTTTGTCTTTAATGTACTGGTGCATGAGTTTCAGTATCTCAAATTAATGGACAGGGTAAAGTTTCATAAGGTTAAATCTATATAAGTAACTTAAAATATATTTCATGCTAGAGATTGTGAAATAATTCTTTGAAATTCTCACTTGTTTCATCATAAAAAGCGTTCCCTAAATACCCTGCAATAACTAAACGTCACACCCAGACAAAAAAAGCAACAAAATAAGTAATCTGTGACTTGCACTTCCCACAGTGTCGGCCTAAACATATGTTCATAAAAGCAAAATGCAGCAGATAACAAGCAAAAACATCAGCCGCGCCGGACCACGAACAAAATCCAAATATAGGATAGTAGGCCTACCTGTAGTTCAGTAATATGAATTTTATGACGTAATTATTATTGCTTTATTTATGTCGCTTGATGACACTGTTTAGCTCTCTCTCTTTCCTGCTGCACTGCATGTCGCTTAGTGCAATGATTGATGATGTCTATGTTATATTTATGATATACTAAAGTAATATAAACAGTTGTGTATTTACACACAAACAAACAGTACCGATGCAATCGACCCTCGGCAAGGCCCGATGATACATAGCCGAAATCGATCTTGTTGTACTGGTTGTTGATTGTTTCCAGTCCCTAACCAAAACACGCCACCATTTGCCTCATTTTCCCTACAATATGCCCCAATCCCCAAGGGGAAAATAGCGACACGAAAAACAGTAATCAACAAAACCGCAAAAATATAGACAAATGATTGTGAATAAAAGTTGTTATCATATGCTCTGCGGGTTGCCACCATTTAACAAAATATAACAAAATCACTAATGAGCATATGCAATATCATACTACTCCAGTATCCGGTTAACCGCACAATATCATCCGTATGTCAGTAAAAAAAATCTCTCGGTTATCCGAATATCCGCTATCCCGGTATTCCAATACTGATGAGCTTTGGCTTAGACTAATATTTGGGTACTCCTGAAGTATGTGAATCAAAATGGCTGGAAACAAGAACATAGTATATGTACCAGGTTACGATTGGTCCATAAATTTATTCCAATTTTTTAATTTTAATTCTTTTACGAGTTCGGAGACTAGCCAAGTGACTCCCGTACTATTTGTACTTAAAATTATGGCCTAATTCTAACCTGGTACACATACTACGTTACGGTGTCCGCCATCTTGGTTCACATACTTCACTTCGGGAGAACCATTTTTCGAACAAGGGATGGATATTACCCCGACCCTTGACCACAGAACCATTCTTTCTATATTTGACTATGAAACTTTTGACGTCTAAATTGAGATTAAATTGAGGATTTAGTTTTTAAAAACTGGTGTACCTGTTCAAAACTACTATTTTTTTTAAACCGAAATCAACCACATGTACCGATAGCTTTATTTGGCCTAATCTGTCTATCGTAGCATTTGCGAGAAAATATTTTGAATATTGCAACTAAACTAAAGCTCCTCAAAAGACATAGAGAAAATCAAAGTATTCAATTTGCAAGTAATTTCAGAAACGCAAATGAAACCTAGTAAATAACACGCGAAACGACAAAAACAGAGCAAGCAGCGAGAAAAATCTAGGGAAAACCCGGAGTCAAAATTTTAAATATAAAAAATGCTCCATAAATCTATATTGGGCGCTCTATATGTGTATACACCAAGATGGCGGGCACCGGAACGTAGTATGTGTAGCAGGTTATGATTAGGCCATAATTTTATTCTAATTTTTCTTATTTCAGTTTCATACAAGTTCGGGGACTAGCGAAGTGACTCCCGTAGTATTTGTGGCTGTAGTCTAACTTAACCTGGTACACATATTGTTTGGTTATACAGAGGATGACGCGTTCTTGGTATGTATTCAGAAGTTGAAATTTACATATTTACGTATAGATGTATATATCTTCCGACTTCTAATGCTGTTTTAGGCTCGTTTAAATACTCTGATATGACCCGAATGCAAAGATAAAAAAAATGACCAATTATTATTGTAGAATATTTTTTTATTCCATATTCAGCAAAATAAAATTTATTTTCTCTGTTTGCGTTGATCTTTCTCTTTGCAGAACTTGACTCTTGAATGACTTATGACCATCGGCGTCACTAATCTGTTTAAATGCATAAGACAAATTAGAAAAGTGGAAACATAATTCAAAACAAATCAAAAATTTTTTTTTCAGAAAATACCGATATACCGATAAAAGAGAATAATAGAGTTTAAGTCTTCTAACACGCATAAAAATATTTGAAAAACAACCATAAGCATGTTCGGAGTTGAGTTTATGAACCAACCTTGTTTCTCTAAAGTGATCGCAATGCTACTATGTACCTGCGATTGATGCTAAATGCAGTTCGGACCAGTATAGGGCCGATAATATTGTGGCAGTTGGCCGAAATTGTAGTTGCATAATGTCATAAATTGATCTCTATTGAGACAAATTCCATTGGATTGATCTCAAAACTGCTCAGAATTACACTGATAGATGAGTTGATAGATAGATCGGTTGGCGGCCATTGGTAATTGTAGAAATAGAATATTGCTGCAAATTATTAGAAATTCACCTCCAACAACATGGCACTCCCGCGAAGATAGGTCACAAAATTCCCCATGTTTACAATCTTCGTTTTTTTCACATACTACGCAAAAATAAAATTAGAAATGAAATGTGATTAAATAAACATAACACAAATTGATAAGACAAACACCGGGCATTGCAAAAAAAAAAATGCGGTCAATTATTTCTGCATGTTATAAATGAAGGCAAAACGCAAATATTCGTAAAACGCAAGAATTACGAGCGCGAAACCCACAAAGATTATTCGCAATATTGGCCAGAATCTCTGCCATTGCCTCCATTACAACCTACACAAAGAAAAATTTGGAATTATACTTTGACAAGGTTATTTACAACAATTTGGTAAGACAAAAATCGGTCATGCAGGAAAATCGATGATCGAGGCATTTAGTTATATCTGATTAAATCATGCTAAATATGTCAATCGGTCCTTAAAAAATGTAACGATGATACTGATCTCAATACCATACAATTGGTGTCACTTTGGTATGCGTTTATTCCCATAGAATTCAGTTCCTAATCCAAACTAAAATCACCGAAATCTTTCGACCACTGAGATCATATTGATTCATGGAATCAAGGGTTTCAGTAGAAATGAGATATTACTGCAAAATATTAGGAATTTACCTATATAGCGGCATTTCCAGTCATCTTTGTAACAATATTCCCCTGTTCCACAATCGTTGTTTGTTTCACATCCTATACAAAGATCAAATTAGAAATACAATGTAAGTAAATCATTCGTAACAAGCTGGTAAGACAACAAGATAACGGCATGCCAACAAAATATCGATCTATATTTTCTGCATGTTATATTTCGAAACCATACCTAAAAATTCGCAATAAGCAGGGATTACGAGCGCAATACCAACAAAAATTCGTCGCAATATTGGTCAGAAACCCGACCATTGTTTCCATTACAACCTACACAATGGCCAAATTTTAAATATACTTTAACAAAGTCATTTACCACAATCTGGTAAGACAAATTTCGTCATGCATGAAAATTGATGATGGATACATATAGTTATATCCGGATTAAATCATGCCAAATATGGGAATCAATTCATCCATGTAAAATATAATGGGTCCCACTTTGATTGCTTAACGTGAAACTGATCCTAATACCATACTATTGGTGTCACTTTGGTATGCGTTTATTCAGATAGAATTCAGTTCCTGACCCAAACTAGAATCACGGAAATATCACAACCGCTGAGAGCATTTGAATAATTGGATCAATGATTTCTGTAGAAATGTGATATTGCTGCAAAATATTATAAATTTACCTTTATGATAGCATTTCCCAAATGACCGTTCACAGTATTTCCCAGATTCACAATCGTCGTCTATTTCGCATTCTGCGCCCAAAACAAAATTAGAAATAAAATGTAACTGAATATACAAAACAATCTGGTAAGACAAATATCGGTCACGCAGGAAAAGTTATCTAATAGTTATATCTGAATAAATCATGTCAAATATGGAAATCGATTTATCCCCGAAAAAAGTAATGGGTCCAATTTTGGTTGCTCAGCGATACTGATCTCAATACCATAATATTGGTGTCATAATATTGGTGTCACTAAAATCACCGAAATCGTACAGGGGCACATTGACTGGGGACCAATGGTTCCTGTAGAAATGACATATTGCTGCAAAATATTAGAATTGTACCTATATCAATGCATTGCCATCCATCTTTGATACAAAATCCCTTAGGTTCACAATCGTCGTCTTTTTCACATTCTGCACAAAACAAATTAGAGAAAAAATGTAATGAAGTCCTCCAGTACAAACTTGTGAGCCTAACAACGGCCATGCAAAAAAATGCAGGATTTTTTTTTTGTTATATTTGGAGGCCATACGCAAGTATTCATAAAAAGCAAGGATTATGAAAGCGAAACCTAACAGGATTAGTCGCAATATTGGGCAGGAGCTCGACCATTTTCTCCACTACAACCTACACAAAGGATAAATCAGAAATATACTTTGACAAAGTCATTTACAACAATTTGGTAAGACGAATATAGTTCATCCTGGAAAATTGATTATCAATACAAGTCAAATCTGATTAAAGCATGCTAAATATGGGAATCAGTCCATTTTTGATAAAAGTAAAGGGTTCAGCTTTGGTTGCTTCGCGTGATTCTGATCTCAATACCGTACAATTGGTGTTACTTTGGTATGCGTTCATTCTCATGGAATTCAGTTTCTAACAGGAACTAAAATCACCGACATCTCACAACCGCCGAGATCATATTGGCTGGGGACCAATGGGTCCTGTAGAAATGAGATATTGCTGCAAAATATTTGGAATTTACCTTTATTACGGCATTCATCCAAATAGAAGTCGCAAAATTGCTTATGTCCACAATCGCTGTCCAATTCACATTCTGCATAAAAAAGAAAAAAATTAGAAATAAAATGTAACTGAGTCAATTACAACAACCTGGTAAGACAAATGTCGGCCATGCATGAAAATTGATGATTTCCTTTCAGTCGTATGTGCTTGGTAATATGATAAATATTGAATTATTAAAAGTAACTTCCATTTTTTATACATATATAGGCAAATTTGTTGGAAAGAGAATAATTCTATAATTCAAGGTTTCAATGAATTAATAAATTTCGACCAACTACCTTTTCCGTATGCATGATCAAGTAACATAGACATTACAGCAGCGGACAGCAAGAGAGATACAAAAAATTTCTGCATCATGACTTTGAACTTTAAGTCGTTTAGATAGTTTTTTCCAAAAATAGATGAATCACTAGGTTAGTGTTTAAATATAAATTGGAGAATAATTATATATAATATAACGAGTAATTATCGTTTCAACCATCGGCGGGATCGAAATTTTAAGAACGAGCTCTCCTTTGTATCAAACGCTAACAACAGCCTTCCACGTATGTATCTAACTTTTAGAACAATGGTTCTCAAACTTTTTTAAACGCGCCCCTTTTTAAGAATTTGTCTGGTGTCGAGCCCGTCTCAAGAATAACTAGCTAACAATAAGCTACAAAAAAGATAGTAAGGTGAAAGTGTGTTTTATTTAAAACACTTTCAAAATACGTGTAGTGAACGAAAACATCCCAAATAAAGAAATGTGAATATGCAAAATAAGGCGGGAAAGATCAAATCATCAAATATAACAAATACTTTGAATTAGCTTCACGCTGCCTCTAAAATTGTCTGAGCCCCACCCCAAAGTTTTTGAGACCCACTGGTTTAGAATTTGTAGAAGGCGTTCGCTGCCTCGAAAAATTGTCTAAACTCTAAGCATTCCTTGTGGTGCGAACCAACCCCCTTGGGAACCACTGGTTTAGAATTTATAGAAGGCGTTGGTCTCGCATACATATCGTCGTTACAAAACCTGATACATAAACTTTGCCTGGAACAACTGTATACGCTGCAGTATTAATCCAGTGCCTCACAAAGCAAAGTGTGACAAATTTCAGACAAACCGCATCATAACTTAGAACTGTGAGGAGAATTACATAAATCTGAGAAGAGACGGCAAGGTTCAGAAATTTGAGAAGTCGTTTGTCTCGTCTGGAAAGGATTTCCGTTTCAGAACTTTTTGCTCAGAAATGAATTGCTTGAATTGGTACAGTTTTGAAATTAAAGAAGGCGTTTGTCTCTTCTAGAAAAGATTTCCGTTAAAGAACTCCTTGCTGGGAAATAAATTGCTTTAATTGATACAGTTTTGAAATTGAAAAAAGCGTTTGTCTCGTCTGCAAGGGATTTCCGTTAAAAAAAAAGTTTATATGTTAATAAATTTCGCTGTGATATGTCGCAGAAATTTACTCTAATGCAGGGCCTTACAACTCAAGAGTGTCAAAAATCTAACGAAATATGAGAAATTTAAGAACACACTTTTAGCGAATGATTTACATTACATTGATTCATGAAAACCCGTATAAAATACTAATTACAGTTCTAAAAGTGTAATAAGCTGCCCCTCGCCTAGCGAACCTATTTAAATCACCTTCTTGAACGTATCGCGAATACATATGTCAGTTGCCAAACCCTGGCCTGCGTAACGATTTCATATGGCCCGCCGAACCTCTTTATTAACACTCAATGTTTTTAACTATCAGTAGAGGTTCCCGTACATTTGAACCCACGTACATTTGAACCCACGGCAATTGCACCTGCATACTATTGCACCTATGGAAATGTTTTTGTTTTACGAATATTTTAACCCATACGAACCTAATCCATGGGTTTTAGCATCCGGATATAGATTGAACTCGCGGATATATGCATGGGTTCAAATGTATGGTCACCTAGAATTACGTATACGAGCTTCGTCCTTGCATGTTTCCCCCTCCGGGCCGCGAAAGTCCTTCCGCTTTAAATTTTGGCTCCCGGTCAATCGACTTTGGGAACCATTGACATATATATATTATTTGCCCTTTTTTCTAAAATAAAATCTTTGGGGGTTTATTCAAAACACGAGAAAATTGTTAAACTTAAATAGAGGTAACAACCCTGAAAAAATATAAAGTCTGATAATGTTAGCAAATGTTGCTCACATGTGGAACCCTATAATGTGGCCCCATAGCCAACCCGGGTAATATATATAAGTTTACTTAGAATCCATATTTAACATAACATTCAAATATAGTTGCGGTGCTGCCTGAATTTCATAAATTTCGATCTGTTGAATCTCACAAAGAATTTCGCTTATGTCTTTTGGGTCTGGTTCACAAATGATACACAACGAGTTCATGGCGTATTTAGCAGTGTTTGCAGTTGTAGGCTTTTGTTGGAAATTTCCTGCGAATTTTTACTTCTACAACCAATAATTCTTCTAGCTTGCCGTTTCCTGTTTTTCAGAATTAGCCAGTGTTGCGAAAACAGCCTTCAATTTAAAATTAACTTGAAGAATAAAACGAGAGGTTTCCATTATTTAACCTAGTCTGTTCACGTACACATATTATTTTACTTCGCAATCAATATTCGTGCCGAGGTCGGTTTTTTAATTTTAACCGTCCGTGTCACGATGAAAACGAGAGAGTTCTCTCTTGTTTAGTCTCTCTCGTATTTATTTTTCGTATGATCGGAGGAGGGGCGAACCTAGTGATGTCGTACGTTATTTACTATTAATGGCCGTGCAAGATAAGTTTATAATTCACTACATGGTAGACGCCACTTTCACCGCGTCATTTTATGAAATATTTGCTGATGACATGCGCAACTTGTAATCTTGTTTTCTTTGATATTTTGAATAATCATATATATATGCATTACAATTATACTAAAAAGTAAAAATGTTAGTAAAATTACAGACAAATACATGGTGAAATTTTTCTGCATAAAAATATTTGAATTCCTCCCTACTTGGAAAACGCTGTACCTTTGCCCCATATTTGTATTATGCTTAAAAGAGGATCTCTCACAACCTATAGTCATTTTACCGAAGAACTTGGCGTCAATCGTACTCGACACAATTCTTTTATCATTATTTACGGATAAAACGGACACTGGCCATGCCAGATAAGTGGATAGTTTAGTTCATGACAGATGCTACTTCCAGCGCATTATAATTTTAATGCGGCCTTGAATCCGAAGTAGGAACCGTTCTTCGCTATAGTATTAAGACGTAGTACAGGTATGGGAACTCTAGACAGTTACTCCTCTGGAATAAAATTCAGAAACTTAACTATTCCTAAAAATGTTTTGTACTCACAAATTTATTGCGTGTTTATTGCGCTTTGCCGCACAATTACACTTTGTTTTTTTGTGTTGTGGCTATATCATGTGATTTTAGTAAATATCATATTCTGACATAAAGTTTCCTATTTTGCTATTTGAGAAAGTGAATTGATATATATTCCTGCCCGAATATATAGATCAGCAGTGTGCAACCTGCCGCCCGCGAGCAAAATCTCGTGCGTCCCGTGGAGAGGTGCTGATTTTGAATAGTGCGCACCCATCATTTATTAATTCCAATCTCTATACATTACAAAGTTGCCTGAGTCCAATTTATTATCGATGCCTTCAACAGATAGTTCATGCGAAATGAACAGCACGGTGCTGCCCGCGGTTTCACCCATTTATTCATAAATGGCCCTGCGGTATTGAAGGTTGCACACTACTGATATAGACAATTATCAGTAAAAATATAAAAAAAAATTAAAATACCTGATCTGTTCTTTGAATTTTAAGAGAGCGCACCTAGGACAGCAATTGTAATTCCAGAAGGGAATTTTGTCATTGCAAACCCCGGTGCATAGGTTTCCCCAATGTAATTGTGTTTGTCTCATTCCTAGGATTTTTATTATTGGGTCAGGAAAGTAAGGAAAAATTCAAGAAGTATAGTAAGTAACAGTAGTAGTTTAATATTTCTAAAAATAAAATAACCGAAAAACTTGCAAAACTTAATGCGTTTTTATTGCGTCTCTCAACGTTTTGCAAAAATAACACAAACAGAGATTTGGAAAACTATCATAATGAGCTAGGAATGGAATAATAAAATTATTTCAAAAACATCATTCAATCTTTGTAAGCATTGCAGTTGGGGCGTTTCAGATGGATATAAAGCATTACAACTTCTGTACATACATACTTACGCGATGTGTGGGTTAGTACGAGTCCCATTTTTTATTTGAACATCTCAATGCTTTCTAAAAGAATCCATAAAATATATTGTGATAGACCAGCAATCGGCAATCTGCTGTTCAAGAGCTGCATGCGTCACTTAGTTCTCGAAGCTCTAGCTCCCGTGAATCTAAGCAGCTCCACCAGCAGTTTTTGTTTGAAGCAGTAGAAAACCAATGTAGGCAGAGGAGGCACAAAGTCAATTACTACTTGCTAATCACACATCACAGCAGATGTAAGTCCAGGTAAAAATAGGTCGCATTAATTGAGGTAACGGAAAAAAGTCTACCCGATAGTGAACTCTCATCGTCGAATTTGATGCAACTGTATAAAAGCAACAGCATTCAGGTTTTATTCATAATAATTCCAGCTTGATTGCGACATGTGGATACGTTGTAAAGTATGCAAATCGTAATAAGAAGTTCAGTTTGTGTGAAATCGAGCTAGTCAGCGCACCGCTTACGTACTCCAATATCGGAAAATAGGGTCGGATATTTATTACATTTGTGTTTCCAGAAGTCTTTCCCTAACTCATTGTTTGAAACAGGTCTTTCCACCATTTTTTTGCTGTGGATTTGCTAAATTTTCAAGTTATATTGACCCCCAAGTGTCTATTGGAAATATCCAAGTTAAATCACGTGCTATTTTAATATAACTTATTGATTTCAGTGTACTCAGTATCACAACCATATTCAATTTCGGACTGCTAGGAAAGTATGCTCGTACACCTTGCTTGTAGAGTTAAAGCTTTTCGTTTGGTTCAAAGTTTGCATATTTATTTATATTCTTATTTTGAATATTCTATGATCAAAGCACTTTAATTTGTGTAGCTATAATAGGTTTATTCAATTATTTCTCTTTTTAATTAAAACCCCAGGACAACTTGCATACATTGGGTCGGTTTTGTCGCCTTGCTGCCCGCTGGTTTCTTAGTACTGGTACACAAAATAAATAGTTTTTTGTTTAATCCTTATTTATAATTCTGAGAAAAATTCATTGGTAAAAATACAGTTTCGGTACTTGAACAAATCAGTAGTAGAACACTGATCTGGGAAGAATTATGGTCGACTACCGAGACATCACTGTATTTCGTATTTGCAGTATTTGGTTAACCTGGTTTCACTGCTAATTGTTTCACTGCTCATTGTTAGAGAATGGATTACGAAATATTTTTGTAGGGATCAAAAACCACGACACAGTTT